GAATTTACCCCTTGAATATCTAGTTGGGAAAAGTTATGATGGCGCCTCAAACATGAGTGGAAGAATCAATGGTGTGCAAATCTTTATTAGAGCAGAGGCGCCAAAGGCAGCTTTTATTTGGTGTTATTGTCATCGATTAAATTTAATCGTTGTTCAATTATGCCAATCAATTAAAGAACTTCGAAATGTTCTAGGAATACTAGATGAGATTTATGTCTATTTTAATAGTGTAAAAAGATATGAGGTACTCAAAAAATTTCAGTGTAATGATCTGAAAAAATCGCAACGATTTCTACGCGTCAAGAATACCAATCGGTAATAGTTCCTTATTTATTTAAATTTTAAATGTTTTTTTTATTTAGAAGCTGGCTATCGTCATATAAAGCTATTGTAAATTTTTTTCAACTTTATGATGCCTTGAGGGCAGCTTTAACAAATTTAAAGGATTCTGAAGATCCTGCCACTTCCACTATGGCTAGTGCTATAGTCTTTAGAATAGAAAAATTTGATTTTATCTTTTCACTTAGTGTTTTGGATAAAATATTGTTGATAACAAGTTTGGATTGTACAAAATTGCAAACCATTTCGAAGGATATAGGGTATGCAATAAAACAAATTCAATTGACAAAAGATTGCTTGATTAATTTGAGAAGTATAATATAAATTATTGTCTTAATTATTTTTTAATCTAATAGATAATAACACTGAATTTTTGGATGTTTTTTTAAAGGCGCAAGATTTTATGAAGGAGAGAAATCTACATTTTGATTTTGAAAGTTCTAGACTTCAAACATTACAATCCAAAAAGGAGAGGTATATATACTTTCATCATTAAATATAGTAATTTTTTTTAGCTTTAAAATAGATGTGTTTTATGCTGCACTCGATTTAATTATTATGCAGTTTAACGAAAGATTTAATGATGATTCCATGAAATTTTACATCAAACATCATTTTTTTACGCCAAAGGTAATGGCAGAAAAATCAATTATTAAAGAAGATATCGAGGATATCTGTGAATTTTACAATTTAAATTCAAGTCAAATTTTCGAAGAAATGTTGAAGTTTAGGCATATTTATAAGATGGCCAAAATGGGGAATGTAATTATTACTCATGACATAGAGGTTCAAAAATATAAAGATTTGTCAGATTCTGAGAATTGTAAATTTATTTAATTAAAATTACCAATACATTATTTAGCTTCTTCTGATGATGATGATAATTCAGGGACTTACGATTCATTGAAAAACTATTCATTTATTTTACCTTATCGTTTACTTTTAAATTATTCTGCTTTCCCTAATTTAAGAATTTTATATAAATATTTATTAACCATTCCCACAACCTCATGTACTGCCGAAAGAGTCATGAGTAAAATTAAATTAATTAAAACAAGACTGAGCAGTACCATGAAAGATTCTTTTCTCAATAATTTAACCATATTATCAATGGAAAATTTTTTATTTAAACAATTAAATACTGATGAAATTATAAATTCTTTCGCTTTCTCTTCCCCTAATTTATCTAAATTATTCATTTAAAAATAATATTTATAAAGTTATATTTTTTGCATTTTATTTATATTATATATTAAAAATTGATGCAAAAATTATTTTTGAAATTTATGGGTGTCATAATTATCATTTTTTCGAAGGGGGGGATACTTGTCAAGGGGGTACTTTTCATGGGGGTATTCTGCTTCATTCGCTCAAAAAGTGTAGGGACCACTGAATGGGCAGAGCTGCCAAAATATATAATTTTGACATATTAAAAGTAGTCTAAAATGTGTTTGAAATTATGGAAAGCATCCATAGCATTTTTATTATACACAGGGGCGTTACTAGCTTATACAATCTCAATAGGATCAAAAAAATAAAAAAGAATTGATAAATATATAGAGGTATTAACTATTAAATTTTTGAATGAAATAGGGCAAAAGATATTGCTATAAAAATATATAATTTTATTACAGACCTTTTATAATATAATAATATTGCTAAACATCAACCTAATCTATATACTGCAAGCAGTCTAGGAATTATTTTACAAATAAAATGATTTCTGGATCACTTCTACTATTAAATGTAATTTAAAAGGGTTAGAGATTATACTATAATGATGCAATGTAAATGAGGGGGTTTTTAATTGAATTAATGTTCAAAAAATAACTCTTATTATTTTAAAATTTATAAAGGGGGTACCATTATAATTAAAAGGGGTGATTAATAATGTTGAATGCCGCCGGAGGCGGTGGGAACTTTTAGGCGTAGGTATAGATTGGGGGGGGAAGGAGATTTATATCCAGTGAATATCCTATCATGTAGACGCTACTGGGAATATCTACCCCACAATAAAAATCTACCACATATTTAATTTTTCTCTAGATTGGTGTCACAAGGAGGAGATTGTCATTGTGAGTCAAAACCTAAATATAAAAAGAAATATATATATAAAAAATGAAATTAATACTAATTAGGAATGTTGAAAGTATGGCTTTTGAGACCTAAAAATAAAAAAAGAAAACAAATATATATATATAAAAAGAAATTAATAATAATTAGGAATCACGAAATCATGAAATCAATTTAATCCTTATTCAAAATTATATCATTATCAAATTAACAAAATTATAAAAGTAAAAATAATAAAAAAGATTAATAAAAATAAAAAATAAAATACCAAAAAGTTAATAATTATAAAAGATTATTTGAAATTGTACAAATTGGAGTTTTTATACTCTTTTCAATCTTCTTTATAAATAATATTCATAACTTAAATTATTCTCACTATTCAAATATAATATTTTTATCACGCGTTATAATAATAAATCCAAAAGAACTCTTTATGCAAATTAAATATAAAGTACAAATTTAACGAATTTACATATTACAACAATTGGAAATAGATTCAAAAGGATTTTGCGGCAATAATATTTACAGACTTGTAAGTGCTGCCTGTCAAATTAACAACTTTTCATTTATTTGAGTTATAAAAGTATATATGAAAGGGATAATGAGATTTATTTAGTATTCTCCTACTGATCGACCCTATATTAATATTGTAACAATAAACTGCTCTTACTGCGAGTCAAGGTAGACAATTATTAAATTCATAGAGCCCTGCTTTTGATAGTGTTGTTAAAAAACCAGATTTAATTAGATTTTTAAAACGGCCAGATTAAGATTTCAGTCAAAATAACATAATATTTAAACCTGGAAATTTTGCTCTTACTATTTGGCAAATCTCAACGCATGCCTATTAATTTGCCTAGAATCTATATAAGCCGTTTTTAAAAATAGATCCAAATTTTAACAATATTTATTAGCTTATGACAATGACATATAATTGATGTAAGTCGTCAGCTATTTTCCATAATGTCCTCAACTTCAATATAATCTTAGCTATTCTCATTATTCAAATGGATGCCGTTTTATTAATATATTTTATTTTGTTTTACAGTAATTTCAAATAATTTGATATTTTAAAGCCAAGAAAAATTTTAAATTGATAATAGATAGAATAAATTAGTAGCATATTTATTTTTCTGTGAATGTGACAAATAAATGTAAAAGAAATATATATGCAATAAGTGGTGGGAATAATTATTATGAGATATTAATTAATAATAAAACAGTAATATTTTTTAAAAATATTTTATCCGGTATCTAAATATTTTGACTTTGTGTAGGGAGAAAAGCCCCCCTCTCCCTGCCACAAGCCTTGATCGAAGATAACATGATAACAGATACAAAACGGTAAGAAAAATAATATACAATTTATTAAAACTAAGGAATATTCCCCTGGAAAATAAATAATTTTTTCGGGATCACTAGTGCTAACGAGAAGTAAAAAAAAATTAAGGGCGAAAAATTATAGTTTACTTAAACTAATATTTTTTAAAGATATTAGTAAATCAATAAGATATTATTTATTTGATATTATGATATCTAACATTTGTCATATTTAATAAGGTAAATTTTTAGAAAGATTATGAACCAAAGAACAAATAAATTCTTACATGCATTATTTTAAACACTTATGACATATGAATCATATTTTTTAAAGATAAGACTCTTTAAATTCTTAATATTAGCTTCCTTATACTATGGTATGGAAACTTGGAACGATAATATATCAGATAATAACAAGATGCAAGTTTTTTAAACAAATGTTTAGGATATTTAACTAGGACCTTTTATCCGCGAAACACTACTAATTATATGCTATGGGCGAGTTATGATATCCTTCCTATTCATAAAACAATAGAATAAAAGAAAATTGAGTTGGTGGGCCATATTTTGAGACACCCCTTGAATAATTTAATCCATCAGGCACTTATAGATCAATCCCCTGAAGACACTGCTCTTAAACCTTTTTTATCCCATAAAAGCAGTTGGTTTGGGAGAATTCTAAGATCCTTAACTGAATTAGATTTATCTTGGGATTTCCTAAAGAGAGCTTCGATTGACAGGAAAGTCTTCAAACATATTTTGAGACTTATATATGAACATATGACGAATACTTGCTGAAGATTTATATTTCTTGTAAAGGAGTTTCCCAAGGGAATCTATATCATTTTAGGAACTAATATATTAGAGGTCAAGCCTCTATTTTAAAGTAATTAAATTGTTTTTTAATTATTGGTGATTAAATTAAACCATATTTTATAGGACATAAGTTAATTATTAAAGATATGGAGTTGTATTTGGTTATTTAGTGAATGGATAATGGCACCTTTAATGTCCCTTAGAAATACTTAACTTAAATTAATATTTTTAGACCATTATATTTGGAAGATTTTCTTTTAAAATGACTTTCCATTTTTATTCTACTTCTCATTATAACTTATTTATATTTCTATTTCCTGCTAATTTTAAATATGCTACTCTATTGGTAGAGGGTTTAGTTCCACTTATTATTTTCTGGGTAATAGGATTGTCGGTATCCTGAGAAAAAAATCGGCTTAATTATATGAAGGATAGGCCTTCATATAATTCACGTTCACTCATTTTGGGCAGGTCTGTGACCAACGTGCAAGATAAGATAAGATAAGAATGATCAAAATTTCTAAAATTTTCCTAATTAACAATACTTTGTTGAAAAGATTTATTTCTATAAAACAACGGAAATCTCTGGAGCAAGGCACTGACAATGATGAAATTATAGATGATGAATTAATTGAGTAATATATATTATTTTTATTTATCTAAACACATATGAGATGACTGTTGATTAAAGGTCTCCCTTATAAATAAATTAAATATAGTTTTAAACAATGATGATAAAGAATAATATTTATTAAGATTTTATTTTTTTTAATAATTTAAAATTTCTATTATATTAATAAGAATTACAGTTGGCAGTATTGTAAATACTTGCATTATTATTTTAAAAAGATACTTTAATAGAAAAATCTCATATCTTTTCCATTTTCATGCCAAAAAATAGACATACAAATATGACTATAACCAGGAATTTTTTGCTGGGGGAAGTTCAACTGCTAATTTAGGGGGTCAATATTTTTTGATATAAAACAAAAAGTTAGGCAAGAATTTTTGATATTTTTATTAAAAATTTGTAAATGTAAATATGAATATAAAATAATACTTGACAATTTTTATTTTAAAATTTTAACATAAATGAATTAAATGCTAAATTCGGTGTTATTTTTTTTAAATAAGCCATAAAAATACTAAATTTACTTTACATTGATCTTTGATCAATTCTCTAGTGCTCAATACCTTTTTAGTATAGAGAATGAGGCATCACAAGAAGCCGTTAGTACTAAAATTATGTGTTTCTTTATTCTGCAACTTCTTTTCATGATGTTATGTTTCCACATTTAATAATGATTCTTAATAATCAGGATTAAAGGGGGACAATGTATTAAAACATGATAGAAGATTATAATCATTGTGGGGAAAAAAATACAATAATTTCATGATAATACTTTTTTAAAGAACTCCAATTGCACTCCTTTTCACAATTAAATTTTAATTTGGCATCATTTAAAAAATTTTTTTAAGTGCTCTTGATGATTCTCGAGGGATGAGATAAAATATTGATATAAGTTTTTCAGCCATAATTCTTATCGAATCAAAAGAATTATATCATCTTTATTTTTTAATATTTTAATTGTGGAACTAATACAATTTTTAACATCACTTTATTAGTACCTACTGACTGTAGATACTTATTAATGGCATTGAGATAAAAAAAACTAAAGACCAACTGAATCATGAAGGGATACCTCTGAGTTAAAATTATTATTAAAAGAGTTAAATAATACTTCACCAATAGCTACACAATCCTCATAAATAATATGAGATATTTCTAAATGATCAGTTCCACCCCAGGTCTTAAGAGTGTGGCCTTCATATTTGCAGGATATGTTAAAATGCCTAAAAATTATACAATGCATTAGAATTAAAAAATACAATAATTATACGAAGGTAATTATTTATTAATTTTTTTAAAGCAGTGTTTGTATTCCTCCATTTCAGCCAGACATGTCTGTGTCATATGCCTGGCTTATTACATTTTATGTGTTTAATTCATTAAGCTGCTTTAAAATACAAATGCTTTCAGCAGAAAGACATGTAAATTAATAATTTCTAGATTTTCTTAAATTTCTCCACAAAAATATAACAAATATATATGAGGTTTAACTGATGCATCTTTTGTCTCATCAGCCTAAAGGCAAAATAAAGGCATCTACTTTTGTCATATCTTTCTGAGGCATAACAGCACCATATCTGCCATAGATTAGACTACATTTTAAATTTGGGATGCTGTATATTAAGGATTTTGGATATTCATTTCTTAATTTTATTTAATTCAGGATATTTTTGGATGGTGATGGTGCATGAAAACATTGATATAAATATCAGAAGAATAAATATGTTTTCTTTTTTTTATCCCCCCACATAAAGGTAGCTTCTTTGCTAAGAAGCAGCATCAAATCAAATATTGATTTCAGGTAATAGCGATTAGTTAATTTGCTGACTGTGTCCTTATAAGATTTTTATTATGCCATATTATTGAATTTTAAATGAGATTTTGAGCTTTCATTTTATAGCAGTCCCTTCTTTGCAGCAAACGCATTATATCAATTGATGAATCCCTTTTGTCCAAATTCATCACTTGGGTGACTAATTTGTAATTAGATATTTTGTAACAAATTTTTTATTGGTATGTCCTTGTTTATTAATTTGTATAAATTAAATAATATTTATTTAAAAATTTTGTTGTATTAACTATTTTTTTTTAAATTTGGGGGCTGGAAAAATTTTGGCGGCCATTTGGGATACATATTTTTTCGAGAGGCTAGGTTAAGAGCTTAAAATTTTTTTGACCCTCCCCCTCCCCAACTTCATATTTATTTGCATATATATACTTTAAAACCTTAATATTTTTTATGTATTCTTGAATTAATTATGTTGTTTTTATTTATTTCTAATCTTTATATGTTAAAACTTTTATCATTATTTTATATTTTGATGTACCAATTTTTTTGTTGTATGTGTATGCATATTAGACAATTCATTTTTATCATTCCTTATCCATATTAATTAATTATTTATAAGTTTTGGCAAATTCTGTTATATCTTTTATTGTAAATTATTTTAACTCTAATAAGGTACTTGTTTCTATATATTTTTATTTAAATTTATATATAAATTATATAATTATTTAATATTTTTGATGTTGTTTTACTTTATTTTTTAATAAAAAATAATTATATAATTACAACTATCTATATTGTCATAATAAATATTGCATCCTACGATAACAACCAAGAAAGAAATAAATCGAATATTATAGATAGATATGAAAAAAATTTAAAGTTTCTTATATTAATATATTCATTAGTCTACAAGACACAAAGGTAAAATATATTCCCAAAGTTGGAATTAAAGTCTACAAAGAATTCCAACAAAATTAATGTACATCTTTATTTTCACGATATGCAACACAAATGTTTATTAATCAAATAAATATTTATTTATTACAATACAAATTTAGTTTCCATTTTTTTGTTCAAAAAATTAGACCTTTTTCGAAATGCTTATTATGATCATCTTTGATTGTTTAATATTATGTTAAACAATAAAATACTAATATATTTGTTTTCACATTTATACTTTATACTGTTTTTTAAATTTATTTTAGGCTTTAAAGAGAAATGAATCAATAAAATTTTTATCACACTTTTTCAATATTCATCTTATTTTTAATTCTGTAATGGAAAAGCTTTTATAACTCTTACATGTTTTAATAATGGTAAGGGTAACATAATGATAGGTCACTATTTTTGAGGTAAAACTAGTAACTTAATTGTTATATTTGAATAATAATTAATTTTTTTCAAGTAACATGTCAACTTTGATACAGATCAGTTGCCATTATAAAATTGATCTTCGCCAATTGCCAATATTAGCCTACCCATTATTTCGTTAAGCTGCAAAATTAATAGATTTTTGTTACATGTTCTGCTACCTAAAATACATTTTATAGATATTTGATGAATAATTTATTCCAATAAATATCAATGGAATATTCACAAAATTAATAATTTTAAAGTGACTAATTTTTCAATAAGTTTCTTCAGAGATGGTAATAAAGATTGTACTATATTTCTTATCGAATATTTATGAGGTATTTGAATTTCAGATTAGAATTTTAAAGATATTGAAATACTTGAAACTCAATATCATCGAATTTGTTGTTAAATTGGGTATTTGGTGATTAGCAAAAATTCATCATTATTTACTTCGGTATCACTAACTAAAAAAGTGTAAAATTTTTGTATTTAATGAAATCGACTCTTTAAATAATTCTTGCATGTATTTAATTTTGCCCAAAGGAATTCGCCATTTAAAATATGGACGGGAAATCATAGTCAAAAATATGGTGTTACATTCCAAACAAAGAATATATTTTCATCTTTTCTTTACACCAATTAAAGTTGCACATAGGTAAACAATATTTTGGAGGCACCTTTAAGAAAATAAGTTTTTGTGGAACTGTAAATATTATTGGAACGAAATCACAATAATATCCTTCTTAATCTTTTTGTGGTAGAGATAATATTTGAATATATTCTATAAAATAAAATAAGATTCTTTTAAACCTATTAGGCTGCCCGTTTCAAAAGCAAGGGAAGTTTAGTTTTTTGTTTTCGTGTCATAGCGCCATTACTTTAATAGTCTAAGAATTCCAAAAATAATAAATATGCACTGTTTACCTCCTGTTCAACAATTGATAAAAGGTGTATTGCCTTAATTATATAATAAGTAGTGTCAGCCCGCCCCTTAAAATTTGGGTTTCACTATAAGGGCTTCGAATTCTAATAATGTTTTTTTTGGGAAATTATTAAATCTTATTTTTTGTTGCTTACATTTTGAATGTCAAACAGAAATTTATGCTTTCATAATATTATCATCATTTGATATTTTAGTAAACTTTAGATTCGTTGTATTTTTAAATGTCCAGGGTAGATTCTCTAACATGATATATGATTAAAATCATCAATTTTCAGCAATGTGGGTCCTAAAAAATTTTTGGAACCAAAGATCCTTCCCTTGATGTTATTCTTTTTGGTTTACATAGAACACATTTCATTTTTTTGTGTTTTTTCAGTGTCGAACCTTTTAATATATAGGTTCGGTTAAGGTTCCAGAATGAAAAAATTATGATCGCTTTGATTCAGGCTAATTTAATATTAAAAAAATTCGGTTCATAAACCTTAGGTAATTATTATTTTTATACATGTCCAAACCTTTTGTGCCATCTATGGCGAAAATATTCAGGCTTCCGTAATATTTTTTCTGGATATAATATTGAGTTAGATGTTTTTAAAAATCGGCTCAAATCGAGGCGTTTCAACGTCTTATTAAAATATCATTTAATAATCTCTTTACAATCCTGTATCCTGAAAATGCTCTCACAACCAAAATCTGTGTAACGTTTATAAAACACTCAGGAAGCAAATAACCGTTCTATAGTGGTAAGTTTAATAAATGGAATAATTATTAATATATATGGTTGCAAATAGATATAAACCGGAATTCTACAACTTTTCCTTTCCCAATATGCAAGAATATTGGTTTATTAATCCGTTTAATGGCGTTAAAAGAATTTATGTTACCTATTAATCGCTATTATTTTGTATTGTGGCATGTTTTAACGCTTCTTCTATTTAGATAAGTATTCAAAATCTCCCTGGGGATTGACGATTATTTTTATTTGACAAATTTAGAAGCTGGGCTTTAAGGCGAAAATTATTTTTAGGGACTGTACCCCTTGGCTACAGGATGCGTGTTAATTATTGCCTTCCTTTTTAAATCTGATAATGATGACTAAGCAGGGTCGGATTTTCAAAAATATCTATTCAAATATAAATATTTTTTTAAGAGTATTTGAATATAGATACAAATACCTACATAAATTTTCAAAAAAAATATTTAGATGCAATTACTTTTTGCAGGTCGATTTTTTTAGTACTACTTTCATTTTTTACGTTAAATAATATTTTTATTGTTGCAAGTATATCACATAAATTTAATAATTGCAAATATAATTAATATCACATTTTATCTATATATTATTGATATTTTGAAAAAATTCTCATCCAAATATAAAACATTTAGATGTTTATATTATCACAGAATTCTAAAATGTCTCATAAATATAATAGTTTAAAATATTAATACTTTCACTCTTGTGTCACAAATTTAAATAAATATGAACTTAAGTTGAATTTATAATAATTATTTGTTTTCGTCTAATAGTGAAATCGTAATAAATATAAAAAAAGTATTCGTATAGTATTTTAAATACAAATATTAGCATTACTTTCCAAACCTGCAAATTGGCCTTTTTTTTTACAAGAATTCTTTAATTTTTCAGGAAAATTTTTATTCCTTATTCAATATTTGTTATCTTTACATATTTTTTTAGTGAAGAACAAGCCAATGACCATAAAAGGAATAAAATTTATCGCCATAAAAAAGCGTATAGAATACCTTCTCGATTGCCAGAATTGGTGACTTCCATTGCTAAATATCAAATTTATCATCTCTACAATTTCAAACCAGATACCTACGATTTTCATTTTTTCCTCAATAATTATCCCATCTTGGGTGCGGCCTCGATAAACAGGATATTAAAAACTAAGCCCAGAATCAGGTGAGATTTTAGTTATTATATTAATCATTCCATTTATTAAACTTATAAGTATAGAATGGTTATTTGCTTCCTGAGTGTTATATAAATGTTAATTAAAACCTACAATTTTTTTAAAAAAAACCTATTCCAGACCTGACTTAATTTAGTCTGCCACTGCAATTAACGCTCAAATTATTTAATCCCATTATTCATAACATTTTAAATATTTTACATATCAGAAATTTAAAGGATATCAAGGTGCATGATGACAATGTTCTAAAGAATTGGGCAAATTTGATTAATGGTGAATACGATCATTATCCTTCTTTTTCTTTCATAAAGCTAGATCCAAACAAAAGTCCTTTATATAAACTTCATTTCGCTAATGGGAGAGCTGATCTACCCTTCAACTTTGACAATTTATATCAAGATAAAACCTTTATTAACCCAACTGATGATTTTATTCTAGACGTTGAACACGCCAATAATAAAGCTACAAAAAAAATTAAAATGTCGCAAGAAATATTAGATAAAGAAATTTTAAAAATTGACAAAGGTAATGATGAAGCTAAAATGAATTTGAAAGGCCTTATAAAGAATGAAAAAACCAGAAATACGATTAGAAAACGTGAAACAAATTTTTTGAATATATTACCGCCATTATCAATCACAAATTACATAGAAGAACACAAACATAAAAGGGAGAATACGATTGAAAATATGAAAATTCAACTCAATAAACATTATCAACAAATAAACATCGAACTAAAAAAAATTTGGGAAACAGTCATAATTTAATTTATTTATATAATTTTTATTAATAATACAAATTCATAATCGCCAGCATTTATTATATTTTTTAAAAATATTTATTCCAATACTTATTGATAGGGAAAAATAGTTTGAAATGTAATTAAGTATCCATAGATGGTATAGGATTATCTTCATCATGCCAATTAACTGACGAGGGAAATGTTAGAAAAATTATGAAGAGAAGGGTGATTATTACGATAGCGAATATATATTTTTTATTGCTACTGCTCTTAATCGTGTCCCTTTGTGGCGGTCGACCGATCATAAAACGTTGGTCTCCTCCGCTCTGCAAATCTTGTACTTTCGAGGTTCTGCGGAACATTAAAAAAAATATGTTAAATGTAAAAAAAAATTATCGGCATATTATAGTGCCTTAATATTTTTTGAAATATTTATGACAATAAAATAAATTCTAATTATTTCCAAGAAACTAAAATTGGTTAAAAACCCTAAAGTTTCAGAATAATGTTATTGTTATAAAATAAATATCTTTGGTATATTAAAGTTTCCTTATATTCGAGGAATCTCCTTAATCGATAGTGTTACAAAAATAATGTTTTATTTTTTTAATAAAATAATGTCAATGTATTTTGGAAAAATCAATTATTTATGGGAGTTATAAATTTGAATTAAAATGTTTTTTGATTTTTTTTAAAATCCACATACAAAATTGAGAAATTCCACTGTAATTGGCGAAAAGTGGAGATAGAAAACTATTAAATCAATGTATTATGATTTATCCTATTAAACAAGTTATATACCTAATATAGAGACATAAAGAAGATATAAATTACTTGATATCATATTTCGTGTACAAATAATCAGTATCGTCATTTGGTTTGATTTCAAAGCGCTTCTTTAAATATGGAGATTCGTATTCGAAATTGTCAAAATCTCGAATTGGTCTTCTTCTCATATCATCGGAGCTTAAAAAAATATGAAAACTTAAATTTATTTTAATAAGGTGTGGAAATATTTGTACTATAAGAACTGGTATAAAATGTAAAATTTTCTTTAGAATATATTTTTCTTATAAGGATATAAAATTGATTTATTTTATAGAATTTAAAGTTTTATATATCATTTCTTCATTGATTTCCCTTACCTTATTGAATTTGTGCCTTCTTCAATTCGGCTGAACAAAAAATAATATCTTTAATTGGTTTAGAGATATACTATTAATTTTTATTTAATCAAAATTTACCTAACCCTGAAGCAAATTACATAGTGAAAATTTTTTTATAAATGAGAATTTTTTATAGCAAAATAAGAAATGATTTAATTTGGATATTTTCGATCTACCAACTGTTAATTGTTATTTTACACAAATTCAGGTAAGGATTTAACCTGATCTTTTCAATAGTCTCCTAACTGGTGCGCACAAATTGAACTTCAATGCAGCATTTCAAACGCAGCTATGTTTAAATTGAAATGTTAATTTTCAATATGCAACTTCTAAATTTAAAACAAAAAAATGCTTACCGTATTTTTCTTAACATAAATAAAGGAAGGAAGAGGTGAAATACTATCAAATTTTAAAATAATTTTTTTCTGGATACATTAATATAAGTGGATTTGACATCCCAATTTTATAATTATACAATGAGAAGGTCAACCTTTTCATATATTATCGGGTAAATACATGATGATATTATTCCAAAAATTTCTAATTGTAACAAGCAAATTGATGCCGGATTGTTTGTTACCTTGAGGTAAAATAACTTTAATTCATTAGTAATTATTTATACAAAAGCTATTTAATTATTAGTGAATCCTTTGCATAATTATATAGTTCAAGGATTTCAAAATCTACATTGTGAATAACAATTAATCATTAAAAATGGCATGGCTTATTAAAACCTGAAAAAGACTTGGGAGCAGGTAGATCAAGTGTATGATTCACCAATTCTAAAATTTATATTTTAAGAATATATTTAAATTAACATAATGCAACCTCTATATAAAGAACCAAAATATACCACTATCACTCTGCTTTCCATATGCTCCCACATCTATAAAAATAAATTTGAGCCAGTATTGGGAGGGCTGTTATATGTTTATCTACTATTGCCCCAAAACAATTTAGGAATCCTGATTGAATCAAGAATTCCTGAGAAAATAATATAAATGAATATTATCTTTGATTTAATATAATAAATTTAATCTCCAATCATTTTTATTAGGCCTAGACATATATATTAATTTGAAATTGCTGTGCACACTGGTAATTGAATACCTTTTATATAAATAATTACTAATGAATTAAATTACCTCAAAGTAACAAACAATCTGTCTTCAGCATCAATTTTCTTGTTACAATTAGTAATATTTGGATTTATATCATCATATATTAATCCGAGAATATATGAAAAGATTTATCTTCTCATTTATGTATAATTATAAAATTGGAAATTTGTCAAATCCCATTTTATAAATATAGTCAGAAAAAGGATTTCTTTTAACATATATTTGATATGTTTTGCATCTCTTCCTTTATTTCTGTTTTGTTTTAAATTAAGACGTTTCATATTGAACAATTTAAATAGCTTGGTTTACGTTTTTTTATTTTGCGTTTTGAAAGTTCAATTTGTGTGCATTGTCAGCATGTTTTGGTTCCATATTATCTCGCCTGGTTCAATCAGTTCGGCAAATCTTTTTGTAATATAATTATTCTTACTTTTTAGAAAATGTTGTATCCATTCTATCACTTTAAAATTTATAAACGTTTCAAAAAACGTAGATATCTTATTTTTTAATAAATAATTTAAATGCAAACGGAAATGCGGCCAATTTAAACAAATGCAATATATGCGTTTTGGAGGCTGCGTTGAAACGTTCAATTTAAACGCACTATTATGCCACTTATTTAGCGTTTTCGTGAAAAAATATTGTAAAGGCAAGAAATGATATTTTATTATTTAAAATTTTTAAGGAATTTCATAATAGTTAAATACCAATATGAAAATCAGAAATTTTATAAATAATTCTTAATAACCAAATTCCTATATTTCAAAACTCCAAAAATATATAATTTCTTTGTATTGAATAGTAATTTATTTTTTATACTAATTTTCAACACATCTTTACAAAATTATAGCTACAGCCAAGGCAGAGCATGGTTTTACAATATGTCCATGTTATAGATAAAAATATAATAATTAATATCATTTTAATTTTGACTATGTTTTAAACCATAAATATATTACAATTTCTTATTGTTAAATACTATATTTATCTAACATTTTAAAGAATTTAAGCGCAAGTTAAAATTAAATTTGAAAATTATTGTCAAACTATTGTTATTTGAAAAATTTGTTTGTAGGTGTTCAAACATATAAGTAATTTCATTGACTCGTCTGTTAACAATTCGCTTACAAAACTAACAAAAATTTTTAAATTCAATTCAATAACTTTAACTGTTGTTTAAAATTCTAGATAAACATAATCTACATTTAAAAAAATATAATCCATGTACAATTAAAAATTAATATAATGGTTTTTTGGATAATAATATAAAATAAAATTAATGCAATAATATTCAATATTAAGAAAATTATTGTCAATAAATTTTCTATGGAATCCAAAACTGTTTTTTAGAAATAATTGTTTTAAGAAACTTTATTGCTCAACAATATATAAAATAATAATTAAGCATTTAAAAAAATTTATATAAAATAATAATTTAGGCATTTAAAAAATATCTATATAAAAGACAATTAAAAATTAATATAATGGCTTTTGGGATATAAACATAGAAAAAAATTAATGTAATGATATTTAATATTAAGAAAATTAATTTTATATGGCATTCATACAAATATTTTTTTAAATGCCTAAATTATTGAAATATTCACTTTCATATTGGGGGGTTTTTTAAAAAATAGTTTTTATATTTATGGAATATTGCATTCTTTGCTACTTTTCAAGCAGTAAAGTATTTTATACAAATTGCTTCTTAAAACATTTATTTTTTTTAAAAAAATAGAGAGATCCATGATCCTGTTATATCTAAGACCTTAAAATTTTAACATTTATAATAAAAAGTAAATATCAATATAAATCCATATATTGTTTAAAGCTAATTAAATTATAATGCATAAAAAACCTCCAATTAGAAGCATTAGAACCTTGATTATATAATTCATCGTTTCCCTTATTTAAAACACTCTCATCTAATTTATAACCACTGGTACTATCTTCAATTTGATCATCTGTATCTAAATGATTATCAAGATCTGGATAAATTTGGCCCCCATTTTGATTTAAAATTTTGATTAATTTATTCTCATAAAAAGTACGTGTTGAAGCTGTAATATATACTTAAGGAAATACTAATATAGAAATATAAATTACCAACTATGGGACCAGCTTGTATACCATTTTCTAAAAGATGATCCCTTAATTCATCATCCGTTAATGATTGAATTAAACTAAGGTCCATTATATAATTGAATCTACTGGAAATATTCCAAAATCAAATTGATGGTTCGGTTATCATAAGCTCAACTCAAGTAATATTTAACGAAATTTTTTAATTGGGTGATGATAATAGAATATAGGCAGGGGGCAGATAGGCGAATTCCTTTAAATATAATACCAAGATGCAGAAATACTCTTAAATATTTATGGTACATGTTATTTTCCATAAATACAGATACTTCAAAAGTTATCTATATACAGATACTTCAAAAATTTGACATAACATGAAATGAAATGAAATTTATATTTATTAATTGGGCCGGATATTCTATCTATATTATTTATTTAACAAGAAAAGAGTAAGTTATATGCCAATTTACCACCATATCAACAAGAAAATATATTAACTTTTATATATAAAGATTTGATTTACTTTATCTAACGATAACTAATTCACTTTATAAAAAAATGAAAGACAATATTGTAAGAAAAATAATAATTTTAATTTATCTTCAGAAAATTGTGTTAATTCCTACATTACATCTGAGTTAATCTCATCTTATTAATTTATTAAAGTTAATTCCTACATTATATTTCATCGGAGCTAATCTCATCAAGGGGGTTATCGCGAGGTGGAGAGGGGGTTGGGGGGGGGGCTAAACTCATGTCCTTTTGCCAATAAATTATTTTTGATTGACTGATATATTTTTTTTTAAATTTGTGGAAACATATTGACAATAATAAAAAATAAAGTGGGGGGGGGGGGTCTACATAGAAAAAAATTAATTGAAGACAAGTCCCCCAACAAAATCTACCCCTACTCCCTTAAAAAATATTGGTGCCCTACAGCAGCCATATTTACTTTATCCATTATGCTACAATAACCCCATGATATTAATTTAAAATCTTATAGAGTCACCAATAATAACTTTCAAACAATTCTATTTTTCCCCAATTTATTCTATATTTAATGAATAATCCTAATATAATTTATTATGAAAAGGGAAAATTAAACTCTTTCAAGCTCAGTTATTTAGACTAGGAATAACAAATAATTAGTAATTGAAATTGATAATTAACTAGTTGCTAACCGTATCTCAAATTTCAGCCACGAGAGTATATAGTTAACCTCTACTAAAACGTCATATGTGAATGAATGAGAAATAAATATTTATTAATTAATTTAACTTTTTTTATCAGTTTTTTTTATCTAAATAGATTTTCTTCATCCTAACCTCCTTTGGATGTCTTTGCTCTACCTCTTTTGAAGGCTTATTCTTCCCCCTCCCCCTCAAAAATATTGAGCCTAATATCGCTCCTACCTACTTTTCATATAGAAGCTCCATGTAGGTAAATATTTTACAGATGTCACTCGACTCATAAATTACACTTTTATTTAAAAGTATACCATTAAAAAATCCAAACTAGTAAAATTGTATGTAAATAAATTTAAATTACTCTTGAAAATAGACTCAGTCCAGTCTAATCAATAACTTTGAAAACGTGGTAAAATAATTTGAATAAATTTGAATTATATTATTGTCTAATTTTAGAAATTCTTTCCGATATATTCTTTATTCGAAAAGAAAATTGACCTAAGATCCTATATGCGCAATTCGACTAGAAGCAAATATTATAAAAACTCTTTAACTTTGTGGATACTTTATCTTGCTGTACGACTGAGTGTGAAAGGTGCTTTTAATTTATGATTGTGATGTCATAAATATTAATAAACTTTCGATATCAGAATAGATTCCAGATCCATGTATCAAATAGGAAATTAATCATCACGGGCGTATGAAATCATATCAAAATTTCCCAAAGGAAAAGAGGGAAAGAAATATTTATGGAAATATTTTTAATTCATATTTATATTTTTTAATTTCTATAGATATTGGTAGCATTTTTATGACCTTATTTTTGAAATTTCATATTTGTAATAAAAATTCGATTTTCTGTGTATAATATGACTTTAGAATATAAAATCAGATGCGACCTAATTCAGCCTCATCACTACCTGAGAGTGGTGTCACTAGGTGGGGAGCGCAGGGGCTGAGCCCCCTGAAAATTTGAATAGCCCCCTGAAGCAAAAAATTTGTTTTTAATGGAATCTTTACCCTTGAACTAATATAAAATTTTTTTGATTGCCCCCTGAACGATTTCTTATATAATTCTATAAAGTATTATATAGATTTAATTTTATTATTTAAAAATTAATAAGACTGTCTAAATATTTATTAAATGAATATTATTTTAAATATTAAATTAGATTAATACATATAAATTATATTTTCACTATGTCAGCTTGCAATCAAATTTTGTGTTAAAAAAAATAGAATATCAATATCACTCACTAAATATTAATTTAGCATTATTAACAGTTGAAGCTTAATTGACTATTATTATTTAAATTATTATATAACATTAATTAAATAAATATAATCATTTATTAATTGAAAACTAAAAAATTTAATATTGTAATTAGCCGAGTTCAAAATGACTAATCAATTGTATATTTATCAATGACATATATAATACTTAGACTGACGATTCATTCACTAAAATGCATTTTTAAGCGTCGTTTACCCCTTGAATTTCTAATTTGGCAAAGCTATGTGGCGCCTCAAACATGGGGTGGAAGAATCAATGGAGTGCAGGCTTTGATTATAGCGGAGCCAAAGGCAACTTTTATTTTGTGCTATTGTCATTGAAATTTAATCATTGTTCAATTATGTCAATCAATAAAAGAACTGCGAAATGTTTTAGGAATATTAGACGAGATTTATATATATTTTAATGGTGTAAAAAATATGAGGAGCTCAAAGCATGTCCAAATTATATATTGACAAAATCGCAATGATTTCTACGCATCAAGAATACCACTCGGTAATATTATCTTATCTGTTTAGATTAAAAATGTTTATTTTATATTTATAGAAGCTGGCTATCGTTATATAAAGCTATTGTAAATTTTTTCTACGCCTTGAGGGCAGCTTTAACAAAATTAAAGGATTCTGAAGATCCTACCACTTCCACTATGGCTAATGATATAGTCTTTATAATAGAAAAATTTTATTTTATTTTATCACTTTGTGTTTTGAATAAAATATTGTTGATAACAAGTTTGGCTTGTACAAAATTGCAGACCATTTCAAAGGATATAGGGTTTGCAATAAAACATTTGGCAAAAGATTGCCGGGTTAATTTGAGAAGTATAATTTAAATTATTGTTTTTTATTTTTTAATCTTAAAAGAAAATAATACTGAATTTTTGGATGTTTTTTCAAGGGCACAAGATCTTATGAATGAGAGAAATCTACCTTTTTTGAAAGTTCCAGACTTCAACATCATTAAATATAATATTTTATATTAGTTTTAAAATCAGTGTGTTTTATGCTGCACTTGATTTGATTATTATGCAGTTTAATAAGGTTTAATGATGAATCGATGAAATTTTTAAATCAAACATCATTTTTTACACCAAGGGGAATGGCGGAAAAATAAATTATTAAAGATGATATAGAGTAACTGTTAATTTTACCATTAAATTCAAGTCAAATTTTTGAAGAAATGTTGAATTTCGAAATATTTATAAGATGGCTAAAATAGGGGGTGTAATTATTACTCGTGACCTAGAGGTTAAAGAATCCAAAGATTTGTCAGATTCTGAGAATTGTAAATTTATTTAATTAAAATATTTTTACTAATACATTATTTAGCTTCTTCTTCTTCTGATGCTGATGATGATAACTCTGAGACTTATGGTTCAGACTGGAAAAACTATTCGTTTATTTTACCTTATCGTCTACTTTTAAATTTTTCTGCTTTCCCTAATTTGACAATTTTATATAAATATTTTATTAGCCATTCCTACTACCTCATGTACTACCGAAAGGGTCATGAGTAAAATTAAATTAACTAAAACAAGACTTCATAGTACCATGAAAAATCTATTTCTCAATAATTTAACCATTTTATAAATGGAAAAAGATTTATTTAAACAATTAAATATCGATGATATTATAAATTCTTTCGCTTTCTCTTCCCCTAATTTATCCAAATTATTAATTTAAAAATAAAATTTTTAAAGTATATATTTTTTTTACTTATTTTTTATATTCTGTATTATTAAAAATTGATGCAATAAAAATTATTTTTGAAATTTATGGGTGTCAAAATATAATTAACCATGTTTTAGAGGGGGAGAGGGATACTTTTCAGGAGGTATTCTGCTTCCATCGCTCAGAAAGTGTAGGTGCCACTGTTGATTATTATGTCACACTATTAAACTGGGTTGTATATAATAACAAGATAATATAGATTAATAATTTATTTCATTAAAAATAATAGATGATTTAAATTATTTTGTAATTATATTAAAAATAGTTATAATAAGAAATTTTATAACTTAATATTTAATCCGCAAGAGAGCGTTTATTCTTATTTAATATAAATTACAAAATTAAATACCAAGTTAATAAACTTTAGGTCAATTTGAAAAATTAATACAATTTAAACTAATTATAATTTATTTTTCTTATCAAAAATATCAAAATTTAGATATAATTAATTATAATAATAAATTTATTTTACAGATAATTAATTTAAATTACTTATTTTACAGATAATATAATTTAAAAAATAATAAGGAAAAATATCTGACAAATTAATTAAAATACGGAGGGGGGGGGGTTATAATATATTATTGGTATATCTATTAAAATACCAAAAAAGATATATATACTGAAAATGGTATACTGACCCCTAATATACTGACAAATATCTATGAATTAAGCTTCACTTGTAGTGATTGATATTTCCCCGTCCAATCCAAAAGTAAAGTCACTGACTTCAAAGTACAATCTTTTAACGACATTCTTCCAATCAGAAGTCCCTTCCCATCTCATACAAATTTTGTCTAAATTTAAAAAAATATATAATTATGCTTTTTTTTTCATTAGAAAAGTAGCTAAATTAGAAAGCAATGAGAATCTTTAAAATATTTCGCTTTCATAAAATATATTATAAAAATGAGAACAAATTATTCGGACAGTTTTTAATTATAAAATGGGCAATAAAATAAATCAAAATA